ATCTGTCAACCCCTATTACCCCTATCTGTCAACCCCTATTACCCCTATCTGTCAACCCATATTACCCCTATCTGTCAACCCCTATTATCCCTATTTTGTCAACCCCTATTAGTCAACCCCTATTGACAGCCCCTATCCGTCAACCCCTATTAGTCAACCCCTATTGCACCCCCACTTTAGCTAGCCACCCATCTTGATATATATACCCCCTTCTTCCCACCTCTAGATAGCTCTTACTCATGCTTGCAATTCAATCCTTCAATCATCCAACTCCCTCATCACTTCACATTCACTCTTTACTCCTTTATACTTCTCTCTGATCCTTTGTGGTATTCCTACACTTGATCCCTTCTTCATAATTTATACTTCCCACTACTTGTGGTATCCCCACACTTAGTCTCTTCTACACCCTTATCTTCAACAAGCCTGAACCCTCCTTCTACCAATCCATCCATCTCAGAGAGCAGTTGGTATCCCCAGCTGGGTCCCTCTCACACACAACTGCTGATATTGGGCTCTGTATCTAATATATAGGCATAGTGCAAGGCACCTCCTTACAGCAGGTGAGATTCCAATAACAAAGTTGATTGATGAACACAATGCCATAAGGGCAGTGTTCCTACATGCTATATACTTGAATGATTGTACATGGTGATCTGTCTGCTCTGTGTGATCTGACAGCGCAGTGAGAGCACTGGGAGCATTCATGCAGGGTGCTCTGCGTGCTCTGTTGCTGTACATTGGATTGTGAGGTCAGTGAGAGCATATATGCAGTCTGACAGCCGGCCTTGTTTCCGTCACAGCTTAACTGAGACTTGCCGCTGCTCTGTTGTTGCCTACGTTAGTGTGAGAGCAATCCTTGTCAGTGCTACCTAGTGTACCACTGATCGTAACAGCCGGTACATGTAAGGGGAAATACCCGTGACAGGATACCACAAGGGATCAGTGAGGAGTGAGTTGAGGAGTGAATTGAGGAGTAAAGGTGAAGTATTGAATTGAGGGGTGAATTGCAAGCATGAGCAAGAACTATCTAGAGGTGGGGGAAAGGGGGTTCATATATCTAGATGGGTGGATAGCTAAAATGGAGTACAAGATGATGATACAAGTGATGGTGTAATTGAATCAATGATGCAAGCTGACAGGAGGCAGGGTGATGGGAACCTTACTAAAAGGACTAGGAGGGTTGTTGTTGGCTGCAAGCCTTGTCAGGATGACACTGGCCCATCACAAAGGAGCTCACACCCACCTTCACCATGGCCAGGGACTATCAGTTATCAAGAAGAGCAACTTCTGTAAGGGGCTGACCTTGAGGGTAGATGCAAGATAAGATCAGACAAATTTGATGAGGTTTGCCAGTTGTGTGTTGGCATTTGGTTGTACCAAGCTCTGAGGCTTGCGCTAGCCAAGGCGCTAACTGGGCACAGCCCGTTACAACTTCTTCCATTTGTTCTGGAAAGCCTGGATTAGTACATCTACTCAGGGGCTGATACTCAGGTCCTTTGAGGCAATGGATATAGCACCCTTCCAACCCAATATCATCCTCTCATTGATTTGCTAAGCCCACCCCTGAGGGCTCTGATAGCAACACAAGCTCTTCTCCAGTCTACAGAAGCAAGGACTGGCTCAAAATAGAGACTCTTTTGCACAAAGTTGGCAAGGACAAAGGCAGTGAAGAGCTGAAAAAGATCAAGTGCTCACTCCACCACATCTCAGTTCAAAACTCAATCCTTCACCACAAGATTGCAGGCCTCAAAGAGTTTTTAAAGACTCAGAAGAAGCACAAGAAGAAGAGCAAGACTCTTGAGTTTAAGCATCACAAGGACTACTATGGTGGAGCTGAGTTATACTCTCCTAGTAGAGTAGAGAAAGCACGCCCATATGAAAGGGCAAAACAACAAGAACAGAATGCAGAGGAGCTCAAAAAATCAAAGATGGCTGAACCAAGGCATGCCAATAAGCTGTACAAGGGGAAGATTGCATAGGAGAGGTGTGAGCAGAAGTTAAGGGAGAAGGAACAGCATGACCGGCTGAAAGCTGAGAAGGCTAAGGAAGTTGCTGAACGCAAGGCAGAAAGAGAGTGTCAACAAAAGGAGCACAACACCAAGAAACCTATACAAAAGCCTCAACAAGGCAAGTGCAAGACCTCACAGCAACAAGGAGCTAGAAAGAAGCAGAATTGTGGTGCTGTAGGTGGTGCTACTGCCGCCAATGGCTCTCTATCTCCGGCCAAAATGTCCACACATGGCCACAACATCAAGCTTAAACATAGATGTAGGTAGCAAAAGTTTCTTGCATAGGTCTATAGAGTACTCCACCAAGATATCTCATTATAGTAGCTATTGTGTGCGGCTCTACAGCCTCATTTTTGTATGAGCGTCAAGGTGGTGATTGTGGTCGGCATGCGCACAGACACGATGGTAGTGCTGAGTGGGGTATTTTGGGTACGATTTGCACCCATTATTGTTTTTTTTCTTGACATGCTGCATGGCAGTGCCTTGACATTGGTTCAAAAAATGCCTACAAAGGCATTGTAGACAGTGTAGGAGTTTTGTGAAGATGTGTGGTGTTCGGTTCAGTAGAATGACTGCGAGAGGTAGTGGTTCTTTGATAGTGTCAGTGGGAGGATGTCCTCGACATGCACAAAGCTGTCTAAGGAAGATGGGGGCAAGGCTCAAGTCGATGTGGCTTGAGAAATTGGCGAGGCGGTTCCATGTATACGATCCGCAACATTACCATCACCGCGACTCTTCCCAGCATGGTGCCACTCTCTTCGAGCGCCCCATCCTCAACCCGAGCTGACGCGATCGTCCAGTACGGTCCTATGAAGTCCTCAGGCGATCCCACGGAGCACAAGCGAATCGCGGAGAATGTCTTGAACCTTCTCCAAGCCCGCGAAATCAGGTGCGGAGTTCAGGGCAGAGCAGGGCATGACTGCGCAAGGAAGACATGCCCTCGTCAAGGAACAGTGCAAAGTTAGCGAGGCAGGCAATTGTGTTTTCACAAATCCGCAGAGTAGGCGTCCAGTTGGCTGCAGGTACTGCAGGTGCCATAGAAGATCATTGTGAAAGCGGCCGTTGTGCTCGGAACAGAGCTTTGATAAGTACCACTGGGAATTGAGAACGACAGGGGTATTAGAGAAGTTGAAATTACAAGGACATTATTCTATCTTTGATATCCCTTCTAGGATGTTGGCAGGTTGACATAGTATAGCACTGGGAACCTAATGAACAGCCAGTTGCACGTAAGAGCGTCACTGCATACACACAAGGCGTAGCAACGTTGAAGCAGAGTGTTCTTTTCTTTCCAATCTGATGCAATGCCTTCAAGCGAAGTCATTCGGGAAACACTTCTCTTTCGCCCACAGTTTCTGATCATGAGTCAACGCGTGGGCCTCCATCTGCGGCTTATTCGTGGACACCAGTTCTTTGCGGCAATTTTGGCACTATATGACCCCAGCCGTAGATGTTAGCACTGTCATGCTGCCCTTTGCTTTTGTGGTCTGAGAGCACGAGGCATGAGGACTTTCAGGATTAGATACAATCTTACAATCGATGTTGGCTTGGGAGCCTTGACGGGAAGACCATTTGCCTTGACCGGCGCGCGGGTGCCGGCCTTTTCAGCTGCCTTGTGCTCGCGCTGGATCTACGCATTCTTGAGTAAGCTGGACGCTCTCAGCCTTGCGCAGTGTAACAAAGGAGGCGTCACATACCCTGGCTTTTTTAGAAATGGGCATGATTGCGATTCAAAATAGGCGTGCTCGTGGTGTTGGTGCAGTGCTGGAGAGAAGTTTTCGACGGTGGCGTTTGACACAAGAAGCGTAGCGACCAATCGGACGAGCAGGAGAAAATTTAGCGCTGGTCGCCTCACGCCGAAACAGGTGGTCGCACATGAACCTCCACACCTTTACAAACACCAGCACGGCATACAGATGCGTCTTCAAACGGCTGATCACTCGCATGCCAAATTCTAGAACCGTGTATGGGCACACGTCTTCGACCGACCACTAAGCAACCTCTTCTAAACCGCTCGAGGTGTTGCTGCCGGCTAAACCATCGCATGGCAGTCATGTCGAATGCAGATTAGGCAATCCGGTAGTACCACGGTGCTTACTGTGGCCTGGTGTTCGGTGAACGACAGATACCAGGTCTCACCGCATCGTTGCGTTCATCAATACCCTCTTTTATCTCCTCGCGTGAAGCCGTCAAGCACAGCCATCGGAGATGTCGATCCTCGAATTGCGCTCTTCCGTGATCGATGAAGTGACGTCCTTCTAGCGTTCTGGTGCAAGACGACGATGGATGTGCAGTCTCTACGGCCCACTCAACCCGTGCACATCATCAACGCACTGAACCTTCGCGGGTATGTAAAAAGAACTGCCAATCCCGGGGGAAACGGGCCGCAATGGGAACGCCGTAATGAGTTCGGTCACTCTGACCACCGTGGCAGAGCTTGAAACGCACTCTAAAGGCGAACTCACGGCGCGAGTGAGAGCGGATCTAAAGAAGTAGAGAGATCCCGAGCAGGTGAAGTCAATGGTTGCCTGGTCTATTGACTGTTTCTAAAGAGGCGCGGGGTCCCCCATGGTGGGCGCCTGGAATCAGATCATCTTCTTATAGTTGAACTAGACTCGTGCAAGATTCTACGATGTCGACTTTCTGTTGCGGTTATGAGATCTGGTGTGGACGGCGAGAAGCGAACCTCAATTCTCGGGCGACCAAGCTTTATCATGAATCGTGGCCATGGAGATGGCATCAGGATTAGAATGGAGGTTCTTTGATCGGCCAGGATGCTAATGGTGACTGGTGAGTGAACTGGGTCATGCGAGTGGAGGCATAGTCGAAGTCGAGAAGGCCATCACCCATGCGTAATGGGCAGATGACAAATGTAACATTCACAGTCTCGGATCACCGACTTCACATCGTTGCTGTCACGGGGAATTATGGATTTCTCTTCGCCAGTGGCGCTACTGCTGTCACTATCATTGCTTCCCTCTTTATATCTGCACGCCGACAAGCCCCTTCACTTTGGTCGCAATGAGCTTCAGCTCGATCAACCCCAAAGTCCACCACCGTCTCTTCTTCCATCCTTCCTGGAGCGGCAGTCGTTCTTCTCGCAAAAATGGTTCAAGATACTCGTATGGGACACTCTTCCGATCACCAAATACTCCCAGTATGAGCGCAATCTCACCACAGGCCAGCTCGTGTTGGAGTGGTCCATACGTCAAGCCAGGGTTTTCTTCTCGTTGCTTTTCGATCCTTCGCTTGCGCAAGCCGGCCAGCTCTTCCCTAGTGATTGTCCGCCCGTCTGCTGAACATGCTAAGAGATCGTTCACAAGATCCCCCTGCCGTCCGCAGTTGCCCTCTTTCTGTGCGTGGTCTCTCCGTGTCAGTGAGATGTCGTGCTCTACTGCTCCAGGTAGCGCAAGCTGGTCCAGGTCGAGGACTGGTCTGCCCTGGCTGTCTGTTTGATTCGATCTGCGCATACCGAAGCTCGACAAGAGTGTCCAAGGATCGCGGACGATGGCCCACAGGCGCGACAAGAACCCAGCTTTGTTCTTCTCACTCTTCTCTTGGTGTACGTTGTAGACAGTATTGACAAAGACGGCTCCGAGAGTTTTAGAAATGCCAGCTTCGTCCATCGCAGCCTTCATCTCAAGTGCGAGGACGTTTTGCCCGTTTCGTGGGAGGTATCCATGATTTGCCAGCGAGTTGATCATCGGGCATGGACTCCGTTTGTCGCCTGGTCCGGCGGGAACATATGTTCCTATGGCGGCATGTTGGGCGAACAAAGGCGTGTTTTCAGAAGACATCTGTAAGGGCCCTCCCAGATTGGTGCTCCAGTGGAAGTTTGTCAATGATGCAGTTCTTAACACAGCAAAAGGCGAAGAGTCTTTGATGCAGGTTCACAATCGCGAGACTTCAGAGAATGACAGGAGGATGCGTTCGCTCATATCTGTTCTGGAACGGTAGGGCTGGCTGTCCCGTGCTGCATATAGTGGGCGCATGGACCCTGCATGTGTTCAGCCCCCATGAGCCCACCGTCACTCGGTACGGGCTAGCACGTCGGCCCGTCCGAACGACTGGAGCTTGATCGACGCCTCCTCTAACCGACCTGCCAGAGCTGAGGTCGCATACAATTGAACTACGGAGAGCAATAGGCTGCGATCGAGATTGAAATCTTGGATCGGACCTCTGGTGATGTACAGGTCATCTTCGAAATTTGTGAATGACAAGCAAGCGCGTGGTTGACATGAGTGAAGTTGCTTGTGGCTAAGATTGTGAGTCGGTGCAACACCCAAATCGGTCACCTGCAGCTTAGACCATGCTTGTTTGGGCACGAGCTAGCCGCCGGTCACACACACTACAAATGAAAACAGCGTGATTACGATATCCCGTATATTGAGCAGCCAGCCACTCAGTTTGGCAACTATGAGATGGTTGTCGCATCCTTGCGAGAGGATCTAATCTAGACACTCATTCGGCACAACGGCATGGAATCCTCCCACAAACCATCCACCAACGACTTCTTCCCACCCCCATACGCATCCATAGTCACAATCTGCCCATACGGTTGATACGTATTGTCGTAGATCGCAGCCTCACCCCTGAACTCATACTCCGCCGTCGAATACAAAATGCGCCCATCAGCGGTCCACACAGCATGCGCATCGTTCCCACCGCTCGTTGTCAGAACCTGAAGATCCATACCGTCGGGCTTGATGGTGCAAATGTCGAAGTTGATGTAGCTGACGCGGCGGGTGAAGACGATTATCTCGCTATCGGGGGACCAGAAGGGCACATTATCGTGGTTTGAAGATTTGCCGTTCGTCAGCACGGTTACTTTGTGGGTGGTGAGATCCATGATTCAGTCCGTCCTCCTTACCCCACGTGCGGCATACAATGCACTTTGTGTCGCTGGAGAAACTGGGAAAGCCGGTGTTGATGCTACCGTCTGTGAGCTGCTCGAAGTGACTTCCGTTCGCAGTTACGCGGCACAGCAACGCGTTTCTTGTCGCACGCGATTGGCAGCACGAGCTCAGACCGAAGACAAGCCATTGACCGTCGGGGCTCCATGCTGGTTGAAAGGCGCTGGTGAGGCCTTTCGTGAACTGCGAGGCGTTGACTTGACCGGTGGCATAGACGTCGAAAACGGCCTGCATGTTGGTGAGGTCGGGGCTCGTTGCCACGATGCTGCTATTGCCGAGCTGCTCTTGTGTACGTGCGAGATGGCCTGGGGAAAGACGGCAGTGAAGCGGTACTCCCTGTCTGAGTCTCAGGAGTAGATGGTCTTGCCCATGGAGCGGATGACATCGAAGTCGACATTCTCGTAGATGACTTTGCTGCCATCAGGTGACCACGAGGGGCTCTGAATGGTTCGAGGAACAGCTGTCGTTGTGTTGCCGGTACTGTAGCTCAGTCCTTCATCGGCTGTGTTCTTAATAAGGTACACGATGGTGCCATTGGCGAGCCACTGGGGGAAAATCTTCAGACCTGCACCACTGGTGTGTTCAACACGATCTGTACCAGTTACAAAGTCGAGAGAAACAAGTTGACTTGCTACGCTTTGCAGAGACTCAGGGCAATGCGCACTCTGCGTGTTCTCGGTCGTCATCTCATAGTAGAGCATCCGCTTACCATTGGGAGACCACTTTGACTGCCCAGACAAAACTCAGACTTTGTTGGCAGCCGACGAAAGTCGCTACCGTTCGCCCGAATAGCGTAAATGGATAGCTGTTGAATTGCTCCTAACCAGTACCATCACCGTAACCACGCCACTGCGGTCCATGAAGAAGACGCCAATCTTGCCTTCAGCTCTGCGAGACCATGTGTCAAGCTTTGAATCTTTCGATTTTGGGTTGGAGTAAGGGCATTCCAATCTTATTCGTGTGGTAAAAGATGCATATGGGCATCCTGTCTCTGCGAAGACTGCGAGTCTGGGAAAGCAAGCGTAACGCCGAGAAGCGCAGCAAACAACGAAAGACGCATGGTGAGCAAATATAAGAAAAGGATGGTCTATGGGTATTGAGGAAGTCTACATAACAATATATACTGGAGCTTCTTGCGGTCAGGCTCGTCTGGCTGACTGATCCATGAAACACTGAGATGATTCGCTTGCAGAAATAAACAGATTGAAAGCATTGGCCCTCCGCGTATGCCCTAGCAACTCGTTGTATATGAAAAATCTCTGGGGCGAGGTCGACTGATTGGTGTTGAGCTGCCTCGCTGGCACAGTGCAGAGTGGTGGTCCGCGAGCCGTGATTGGAGATGGGCGCAACAGATGTATGTAAAGTCACATTGCTCAGTGAATGAAGTCCTCTCGGCTCGTATCATGTTCGCCCCCTACACCTGCTTGTGCTTCGTGCCGTCGTTCGGTCTCTCCTCGAGCTCCACACCGCCCGCACGTCCATCATCTTCGACCTTTCCAGCTTTTGCGAATGTTGCACCGAGCAGATGTAGTGGATTATTCATCCTCGTTGTCATAACGTACAAGATCGTCAGACCGAGTGTCACAACCTCATCGCGGACTTCTTTCGACAGCTCGGCTGCGCTCTGCTCGAAGTGGAAGTTACCGACTACCTTCAGCGCCCACCAATTGACCGAGAACTTGGCGATCGGTAGCTGTGTCCTTGAGTCGATACAAACAAAGTCCCAGATTTTTAGGCTGCTGTTGGTGATCCATGTGATTGGTACCGGACTGGCAGTTGAGGATAGAGTGGTGGAAAGGTAGTTGTATGCTGTCTTCCACTTTTTAAGCGGCTTGATATTTATGGTCTGGCCGTGTATCGTGCATTCTGCGGCGATGGAGACGTGGTTGATGGTGCCGGTCGAAATCTGGGTGTTGGTGGTCGCATCCTCGATGCGCAACTGGGGTTTTGTTGGGCGAAAGTGCTGGATATAGAGTGGTGTGAGCTTGTCACCATTCTTTTCGCTGACGATGTTGCGGAACTTGCTCCAGGCGAAGTCGACTTGAAGTGTAACGCCGGTCGGTGTGTCGTAGTGCTTGAGCGGGCTGTCCGAAGGGGACGATTGTGTAGACATGGTGTTTTGCGAAGGAGTTGTAACAATATTTCAGGTTTCAAGTTGACCGTGTATGCTGCGTTCAAGTTGGTACCTGCAGATGAGATGCCCCAGTCCTCAGCCCAAGTGGTATAAGTAGTCCATCGTGTCAAGAAGATCTTCGTAGCGATAGTGTCTTGGCGCTCAGCCGTGAGTACGTTGGACGCCTTATGAGGCTTACTCCAAATCTTGGCCTTTGTTGTTACTCTTTTGGGCAGTTTGTTGGCCGGGCTGTGCTTCCGACTTCGCTTCCGAATTCTAGCAGCGGGAGCGATGACGTGAGACGAGCCCATGCGAGCTCAGCCCCAATCCAACACTGGGTCTTTGACTGGGTCACCGGCCTCCACCAACTGCTCGTTTCTGTCGGTCAGATGAACAGCCTCACCGTTGAGAACTTGTTCAACAAAAAGTGACAGTTGAGAAGGTGCGCCTTCGGCAAGTCCGCGATGTTTGAAATTGTGAGCAGAATTCGCCAGGATATAAGATGTAGACGCGACTTGCGACCCGGTACATTCATTGCCTGCAGTACTACCAGCTGAGCTGCCGCGAGCCTGTTCTCGAGTTCTTTGAGATGTAAGATGCAGGAGTTCGGTACAACATTGCAGCCCCAGGCTGACCACTATATAGCCATCTCAACTTACGTCAAAAAGTCCACTAGTTCAGCATCCTAAACCGCACAATCGTTCGTTCACCGGTCAGGTATACGACTCCTGTACGGCATCATATGGGGAATTGTGAGCGATCTTAACTTGCATCCCTGCGTTCCGTCTGCTTCCAACTCCAGCCGTCCCTCGAGGTCAAAGAAAGTCGCGTGTAGATGCGTGACCACAAAAGCCATGTCTTCAGCCATACACTTCGCACGAAAAGTTGGTTGAACCAACTACAGGAAATATAGTCGTAGTGTGTGACCATGCTGATTCCGAATCTCCCCACCTTGGAGAATGGGCGCACAGTCACCGACTGTTAGGCATCAATATTTGCAACCTTTAAAACTTTACGCGGAGGCCATTGCTTCACATACAGGTACCCACAACGTCTATACGTCTACATTTGTCACAATCCTTTAGTCAATGCCAGGTAGTCGCTCGAGTGGTGGAAATCGCGGCCGAGGCGGGTCGAGTGGTGGCACAGGATGGGTTGTTGGTACTCTACCATTGAGCTCGGGGGCCTCATCTATCAACACAACTCTGAAATCAGACGTCCAGGATTTGTATGGATCGGGTCCGGTGCGTTTTTTTTATTGCTGCATCAGAGTGAGGCTAATACGTGCTCAGCTACCTCCGCAAGCGATTATACACCTTCTCGCCTTCGGACTGTATAGACTATCTGTGGAAGTCGCCGACCCAAACAGTACGGGATTTGGAGGACACCAAATGCTGATGCGGATATAGACCTCTTTGCACTCCTTTTCAATGCAATATGACAGCTCAATTACCTCTTCCACTAACATACACCCACACGCCCTCTCTCTCCTGCCACCTACTTGCAAAAACACACAACTTGGCCCCCTCCTCCCTCACTTCCTTTTCCAACTCATGGCTGACATCAAGCTCCCACTCCCCACACCCCGGATCCCACCTCCAATCCTCCCAACTACCAAGTCGCTGCTGCGCTTCGTCCGGAAGCAGACCAGAATCTGCCATATTGGCGTGTTGCCACACTTCTCTTCTCGGATCGAAATACCATCGGGAGAGGTAAGTGGATGAGGGAGGTTCTGTGGTGGTGGCAGGGGAGGCGGAGAAGAACTCGCGCCAAAGGGGGTCCCATGTCCAACTCTTCCCGGCAAAGGCTTTTTGGGGCGTGAGCTGGGTGTTCGGGTTCGAGTACTTGACGACGTCGGATATGAGGCCTACTGCAGTACTTAGATCTGAGAGATCGAGGAAATCGGTTGAGCAAGGTATGGCTGTGGGTTGGGGTGGAGGGCGCCATTGTGAGCGCTCGGTCAGGGTTTCTTGTAGAGTTTCCAGTTTTCCCTCGAGGCTGTTTAATTCGGATGTCATTTCGCTGGTGGGTTTTGCCAGGCTCAATATGCTCGATGCATCGGCGCTGTCTAGCAGGTGGCCTATCTGGGGAGTATCAGCGGCGGAGTACGAGCGAGTATCGGGATCTGTAGCATACGGGTTGTGTAGAATCGAAGATGAACTCTTGCTGGTCTTTCTCGATTTTGAGTCTGACATTTCGGATCGTTTCTTGCAGGGAGATGATGGTGTTTGTCAGCTCGTGTGATATATCGGGCGATGTGCTGTCCATTGTTGCTAAAGCGTGGATGCTGTTGGTTGTCTCGAGGGTATTGCTATGAGCAACAGGCGTGCTGGTATTTGTATTGTAATAGGTGAGATGTCTAGCCACTTGCAACGTTGCTGTGGTTAAGGCTGGATTTGATGGTGTGGCGGCTTCCTTGCCACCGGAGCGAAGCACATCATGGATATTCACCGTAACATCTTTCAAGCAGTTGTACTAAAAGTCATGCGCTTTGGGAAAATATGGTGATGGCTCGGAGCATGGACGGAAAGCGACGAGGCACGCTGATGTCATGTGGAAGATGTTCAATTATTTATTTGGGTACGCTAGCCCGTCCACCGACTGTACGTTCAAGACAAGAGCCACAGGGTAGCGATGCGGCATTGGCAAAGTTCCATACGGATAGCTCCCTCGTAAGTCTCTTCACAGACCTCTCTGTGCGGACACCGTCTTCTAGTGAAGCATTCCTTCACGTTCCGAGAGCCGTTCACAGTTCTCATCTGCCCATGGTTAGCGCCAGTAGCATGTATGCCTCGTCTACTATCCACGCTCGTGCACGGACTCTTAGGCTGTCTACTCCCGTGCAAGACATGCTTCCTCGAAAAGTCCCCCTGGAGTATGGTCGTCTGGGGCACCATCGCGCACTCAGAGCTCCTACCTCCCGGCCCACAACCCGCCACCCCTCCCCATCCCCATTCCCCCACCGCCCCCAAACTTCCCCTCGTTGACCGGCCTCTTCGCCACTCTCCCCTGGCTCTTTACCCCCTCAACCACCCTATCAAGCTGTGTCTCGACCACCACACCGCCCACGATCATCTCCCCAAGCGCGGCATGCAGCGTCTCGAAGTTGAAGATGAGGTCGAGCTCGCACACGTTTTCGAAGAGTCCGTCCAGCGCTTGCACGAAGACTTGTATCAGATCGAGGAGCGCGAGGGGCGATTCGGTCGAGGTGGAGATTACGATAAAGTAGAGGGTAGCGTAGTGGCGGTAGGTTACGAGGGAGGGGGTGTCGTTGTGCGGGGTGCTGGGGGTTGAGGACTTGGAGGATTGCTGGAGGAGGGGCGGAAGACTGTGTTGATGTCAGATACGTGGGTCGAGCGTATGGGTGTTGGAGATTGGCGACATACGGCAGGAAGTTGCAGGCTGAATTGGGCCGATTGGCGACGAGGGTGAATATCTCGGAGATCAGGCGCTGCTGCACGCTTGTCTCGAGCTGGGTGTAGAACTTGGTGAGGCGCGGCTGGCCGGCGTTGTTGAAGACGAGGACCGCGTTTATCATGGTGCGTGTTGTGTGTGAATGTGGGTTGGGGGGAGGGGGG